ATTTTTTATATGTAGTATGTATATATTTTTCGGTTTGTATTTTTATTTTCCAATACCACATTCGAGCGCCCCCTCATTTCACGCCTGGTTCAAGTTCGAATTTGAACAAATTTTACAAAAATGTATACTAGTTTGTTGAGATGTCGAAAAAATTCGCTGAAGTCCCTCCTTTGATGCAATAATTACAAACTGTTGTTGAACGTATAGATTCCTGAAGATTTGTGTACCTAATCCAAGATAATACAACTAACAAACAAGTGAACTATAAACTTATATCAATTGTCCATCGTGTAGTTTATAGCATAATTAAAGTAAAAATCAAAATATATATTATTAAATTAAATGTTTTGAATATGTGTATAAAGGTGACTTTTCCTCTAAAAAACACGTACTGGCACTATACAAACAAAATAATGAAAATATACAAATATAAGTCGGATTATTCCATTGAAGAATGCATATTAATTAACAACTTTATAAAAATTGTGAATTTTTTATGTAAATCAGAAAACCAAAACAAAATAATAAAAACTCAATGTCTTCTCGATTACACACAAAAAACAAAAAAAAAAAGGAAAGGATTTTGTAAACATTCTGTAAACCAAAACGAAGTTGGTTTTATTTTTGAGCGGGCCAGGGCTATTAGTATTATTCTATTAGTACCGCAAGGGATATTGAAGAATATAGTATTTATGCTTTGTACGCTTGCCTTCATTTCCGCTTACATTTATGTATATTTGTAAACGCGTTTATCAGCATTTGTTTTGTCCCACATTTATCGCTGAGTTTCCTGCTTCTTTTTGCTTCATTTCACTTTGGAAAAAATCGACTTTTGAATTTGTTCTCACATCAACTCCAATTGGTCCAAAATACCATACGCTGTTCAGACATTACCGCATCAACTTGATTTCTGTTCGGATTCAAATGTGCTAATCGAAAGTATTTGTCAATAATTATTAAAAAAAAAATATATTGAAATTCACGTTTGTACTTCTCATTCCTCGCAGTTTACTAAGTAATGCATTGTAAGTAATTCACTCACTCAATCTCACACACACACTCAAAAAAAAAAAAAAAAAAATCTCAAAAACTATGTACGTATTTTTCGGAGCACTTAATTACTACTCAGTCTAATTTCGAACATACTCGCTCACTCCAGTTCCACCAAGCACCAAGCACCAAAACCACAATTAGCACTTTGTTCTCATATCACCACTTTAAAAAGCGCTTCAGTGTAAATGTTTTATCGCTTAAACTAATTGTTGGAAACTAAAACTAAAATACATACATATTTTCTAACATGAACGAACATTTCTGTTCAAAAGAACATTCAACAGAGGCGCACACCAACTCCAACATCAGTACACAAAACGAGGACAGAAACCGTAGCTAAGGCTACAGACAGCCGAAAAAATCAGTCGATTGCTCCCACGACAAACAAAGTCACGAAAGCCGAACCAATTTATATTATTGACGACGAGGAAGAAGAAGATGCGGCGGAGGAGGAGGAGAAGGATGAACAAACGGATGAGCACGGTGACGTGATTGCCGGAGACGAAGATGTATTCGATACATACTCGCCGAATGCTTCGGCCGATCAAGGTGACACTGATTCGGACTACTTTGACCGACCACGGCCTTCGCCGCGTTACACCAGCGATTCGGAGAATGACTATCGTCCGCATCGGCCCAATCACGAAAGGCTGGGAAATATATCGGGTCGAAGCACACCCGACCTTTCAGGTTCTACATATGGTGGTCATCGAAAATCGGTTAGTTTTGATCTTAGCGGTGATGAGCGGTCAAAATCCGATTATGAACGCTCACGAACGCCCGACGGTTACTCGCGTTATTACGATTCTGAGCAAGAGTATGGTAGCGCACGGCCGCGTTTACCACGCAAAGGAATATTACGTTCGGCCAGTCCGTCATCGTCGAATAACTCGACACTGGAGCGTTGTAGACGTCCCGAAAAACTGCCGCCAATAGTGCCTACAGTAGCGCGTATTAAGGAAATTGATTCGCCTACGTTGCAACATGTACGCTCATCTTCGCCTTTGGCCAGTARAGGTGGAAGTAGTAGTAGTGGCTATCGCAGTCCACCGCCACCATCCGAAAAGGTTACGGTGTCAACCGAGATCGAAAGAGAAAATCCATTCCGTGAGGCGTTCCTTGACAGCAGCAAAAGTGATGAATATACTGAGTTGGCAAAAGCTATGTCGAAATCACCCTCGGCTCTCAGATCACCACGGGAACAATTCTTCTTTGGTTCGAAGTCGACCGAGAATTTATTAGGCGCAGAGCGTTCAGCTTCAAGCGGTCGTAGCACACCTAGTACTGTTGTGAGTGCGCAGTCTAAATCTACTGAAGATCTGTTGTCAAGCTCAACCGGCGCCAAACCGAAACGCATACCACCGCCCATATTGCCGAAACCGAAAACTAAGAAAGCTGAGCTGGTGCACAATATTGCGCTCGATGACTTTCAAAAAGCCGACGTAGGTTATGGTGATTTCACAGTCTTCGAACATGATCCTACCACGAATACTATACATGAAATACGTTCGCCGCAACCACCAACAACACCAACCGTTCCAATAACACCACCACCTGCTGGTACTAGTGCAAAACTTCCTGTGCGCGTAAAGACGCCGCGTAGTCCATCGCGTCCGCGTGAAAGTCCACCTCCCCCACCCGTCAACTACTCAACGATGCCAAAGCTTTCTTCGCCAAGTCCGCACGTGAAAAAGAGCGAAGAGACTTACTACTTGGAGTTGCTTCCACCACCTCCGCCGCTCTCCGATGACGAAATACCTCCTTCACAGCGTCGTCACACTGAGTTTATACACGAAAACTCACCAGATCACATACTGGTTACTGAAGACGAACATCGCACAATCATGCTGCATGAAAATGAAGTGCGCAATCAGTTACGTGGTGCAAGCAGAAAGTCACAGATACCCGAACTGGGGGCACCGCACGAAGAAGCGCCACCAGTTCCGCATTACGCAAGCATCAAACACTCGGTAAATCCATTTATAGATAGTTCAGATGACAATTTTGATTCATTACCTCTCCCACCACCGCCCGAACACCTGATTTCCTCTGCGGCTCTGAATCCTGGTTGTGATAGTAGCTCCCATTGCGATAGCGAATCTTCAACTATTAACATTGCTTCTTCTATTTCTTCTATTACTTCTCCCAATGCAAACATGCAGCCGAGATTGGATCTCCTATCATCAGCAGCAACATTACAGGCAGGCATTCCATCCAATAATCCACTCTCGCCCACACAAATTTTTCCCACAGCGCAAATACTACCTGTTCAATATACCCAGCTACCACAACCCCAGCAGCCAAATACCACTCACATCCTTACTGGTCAGTTGGTCCCAAACAGTACGAGCCATCACTTCTCTAATTCCCCACAGAACCAGTCGCTATTCACGGTAGGTGGTCTCGTATTACTGCCACAAGCACAGTTCACTGCTGCGACGTCGCAGGTGTCATCATCCTCGTCATCATCGTTGGTTACTACACCTATTTTCTTGGCCACCAGCGGTGGTGCGACGTCTGCCACCACCGGTGTATACATGGAACCTCAACAATTACAACAACGTTCGCCACAACTGCATCTTCATCAGCGTACCGTACTGGTGAGTGAATCGACAACCCAATCAACACAAGCCCAAAATGTTGCGCACAGTACCACAAGCAGCAACAAAAACACACTTAACACTGCGTCAGCGGCCAATGCCACTGCCGTAAATAGCGCCACCAACAGATATACTAGTATGAAACCATCAACAACCATCACCACAGCTACCACCTCGATTACCACTTCATCAGCGACGTCTACATTTTCTTCTCTATCCCATTCCATCAACAGTACAAGCAGCTCGGCGGCGTACATAATTAAAACCGCCAGCAACGCAGCAACAAAAGCGACCGGGTCAACAACAGCAACACCACCAGTTGCTAACCTTGCCTCTCCCACACCGTCATACACATCAATGCAATTTCCAGCAATATCCGAAATAGTTGCACAGAACTCAACTGTGCCCATTTCCTCTTCCGGACGTTCCGTTCACATCAGCACCGGCGATTATCAAAACACAGTCCACTCATTAGACCTTTCCACCTCCACTCTGGCGTCGGCAGAATCCGAGTCGACTTCATCATTACAGCGCGCCATGAATGCGGCCTCCTATTACGAGACGGCGGAAGAAATCTACTCTACCATCGAAGAGGAGGCCATCTACAGCAACACATCATTCTTTGATTCGCGTCGCAGCAGCGATACCTCAGTGAATTGTCGGTCATCAACGTCACCACCGCCGCCGCCTTTGCCTCCCAAGCGACCGCTTAAGCCAACACATTTAATATTGCGCACCGCCCCACCGCCGCCGCCGAACAAGGCGCGTCCCCTGAACTTGCATTCACAATCGCAACCGCAATTGGACTTGACACCGTCGCCGCTGTCGAGACCAAAGTTTGCAGGTGTTGTGCGCTCGGGTGCCATGTCACCGCCCACAGGGAAAGAAACCACAGTGTGATTAGTACAGACGTCGCTTGATGTGGCAAGGCGGCGTTGTGTAAGGCAGCGTTGTTGAAGCGTATTCTCCATTAGTTTTGCTGTACTCCGATTTGCAAGTCATCCGCAAGTTTTTACTTTCTTTCTCTCGGTGTGTGTGTGTGTGTGTGTGTGTGTGTGTGTGTGTGCGTGTTACGCGCAGTGCCGGCGCGTTGGTGTCGGGCATTTTAATTGCTTAAATATAAGCAAGATTTGTTGTTTGCCGTCATTTTGCCACAGCTGCCATCGGTGCTTGCCACAACGCCGCACGCGCCCTCGCTGCCGCCAACGAATCGATCCTGCGGTCGTGCATAGCTGCTGTGTTCGTTTGTAGTTTGTGTAATATTTCGTCAAAAGCAAATTGCTGCTTTGTATGTAGGTCGTTTTGCTCACTACTAGTTGATACACAGCCGCGAGTTCGTTGGTTATTCTATTTTTATGCCTTTAATTTGTTGAGTTTCGGATGCATTCGGAAATAAATCATTTCAAATACTATTTGGCGGCTGTATGTATGCAAACTTTATTTTTGTTTTTATTTTTTGCCCATTGTCTGTCTATCTAATCAAAGTCGTCCTGCTGGGACTTAGACCCTCACATCGCCCCCAATTCGAACAATAAATTGGACATCTATTCGTCGCATGCAGGTCGGATACCAAATTGGCATAAAATAAAAAATATTTGCATTTAAATTGAAAACTAACACTTTCCATTCAATTCATCTTCATACCGCAATAACAACAATAACCAGCCATGCCGACTTCGTCGACCCTTTCCTTATACTCTATGCTTAAATTTATTAAAAAAAATTGCATGGCGCTGTTTGCGAGGGTTTCAGGTTAACTGTGCCGAGTAAAATACCGTTAGATTTCAGACCATTGCTGTATATTTATTTAACTTAAATAGCCACGAATTAATTGGAACTTTGTCATTTGTCAAAAGTAGTTGGCACCCATTTTATGCTAAATAAAGGTTGCAGTAATGCCAGTTTTGACTTTCGTATTGAAATTGTACTCTACCTTTAGTGGATTTCTTCTTAAAAATTATTAATATATATTAAAATTTTAACTAATATTAAACAGTAAGCATAAATTTTTCAGTAATTCATAAAATTTATATCGCAACAGCCTTTATTTTAGTAGAAAGTAGTACGAGTATCTCTGCTATGCGCTGCCTCTACAGTTTAGCAGAACTAAATTGTATCATTCATGCACCAATAAAATAGTAAAAAAGAATCGAATTATAATATTTAACTGTTCATACAATAACAACAACAATAGCACATTACCAAGACACTAGAACTTTTTAAGAGTACATATATAAGCATATAAGTATAGTCACTCACCCGAAATTTATTAAATTTTTTTTTCTTTCTTTATCAATTTTTTTAAAATATCGTGAATCTAAAATAAAGAGCAAATCGTCAACTAAAATGCAAAATAACTTAACTTCATTTTTCATAAGTTTACAAGCGAAAAAAGCAGATATAATAGAAAACAGGCATATTAAAACAAAATTTGAGTTTCGGTTATAAAGTGGTTATATATTGGTTATACAACGGTTATAGCTTTGTTATATATTAGTTATATATTGGTTATATATTACTGACATATTGGTTATATATTACTTACATATTGGTTATATATTAATTATATATTGGTTATATTTGACCACGAAAGCTGAAATTTTACATTATATACATAAATGCAATATAATTTAATAAATCGTAAGCAATAAAAGCACAATTTCGGTGTTTTTTTTTTATAATACGTTGCTTTGCATTTTAGTTGACGAAATATTTTTAGGTTTTTTTTGAAAAACCAAAAATAAATATATATTTTTTTCATTTTTATTGTAACTGCAATGAGTGACTATAAAGTATACATATCCATATATAACATATTTAGCATAGTGGTCGGCATTACATAGTACGTATACTAACTTCTATTATTAGTTGTGGACAAACTTTTCTAATTTAATTCTATTTGCATCACAAAAATAGCAGTAAGTTTCGAAAACCAATACAAATTTAATTATAATGTAATAAAAATCAGTAATATATGTATAGCGTTATGAGGACTTGTTTTATTTTGTGCCGTCTTTTTGTTTCTTATTTAAAAAGTTTTATTTTTTTGAAGCTTCGCCGTTGAGTAGGAAGTTTCATAGTACCAATATCACGGACAGTTTTGGTTATAGTTGTTGTGATTCCAACATATTTTGTTGTTGGTTGTTTAAAAATCGTAAATCGCTTCATTACGCAATCTGAAACCAAATCATAACAAAACCAAGCAATCTAAATACAAAATTTACCACAAAAACTTCCTACTTTCCCAACTAACTTGTTAAGTTTGATTTTGATCTTATTTGCTTAGGTTAACGACATGTTTTTGAAGTCTTTAGTAAGGCTGAGTAATATTTAATTGCATATAATACCCAGCGCTCAAGACCAACACCATACAGTAACAGAAAAAATAACTTTGAAGGCATTGGCAATCATTCACAGCCGTCTCATCAAGCATTTTGCGTAGATACTCATAACTCTTTACTTATTTTTCAATATGGGTGGCCATTTTGACTAACACTAGTTCAGTATTAGTAGTGAATTTCAAAATTTTTTCTTCTTCTTCTTCTTGATTTTTTAATAATTCAAATTCCTACAAGCCTTCAAAGTTATCACAAATATATGTGAGATATGTGTATCCTAGTCAAGAATGACAGTAACAAAATTGTGACGTAATATGTTCTAAATGAACTGTCAATGTCGATTTTTTTCGAAGTCTTCCTCTTCTTTTGTGCATGACATCCAAATGATACGCCATAACTTAACTGTCAATGTCAGTTATAATCGAAGTCTTAATTCTCCTTCGTGCATGACATCACAAACTAATGTTTTTTCTGCTAAAGGCGAATGAAAATTTTGATTTTTTTTTCTAACTTACAGAAATAAAATTCCTGTTTTGCTATTTCTTTGTTTTCGGACATTGCACCCCTTCGTTGTCGTCTACATATATGTACATATATGATCGGTAACTAATACATTAATATTTTCACTAATGAAGCTGTAAAATCGCAGTTGCGCTTTTTGAGCTGCGCGACATTATAAAATAGGTGCTCAATCCGTTTCCACGTCAATCGGCTATAAGTAACCGGAACGGATGCTGATTTTTTTCCGGTGAAGAACTATGAACTCGGCAGAAATCTGCCGCTACAATAACAGCAACATTGATACTCGTTACGATGCCACATTTTTTCAAAGCACTCCGAAAATAACAACATTGAAGCATAGTGCGCTTTAAGTGCCTAACCTAACATAGCCTAAGCGACTCGTGGCTCATTTGCAACCACACTGCTTTAATATACAAAACTGTTTGAATCAGTTATCACTCAAATATTGCTGTATGTGTGAATTCGTTATCTTTGCGCTGCGCTTATCAGAACTGGCTAATTAAGTTTGTCGCTGAAAGGCTTGTTTCAGCTATCTTATCTTTTGGTTGGCTTTGGCTGTTGCCCTGATTTTGTTTTCTCTACTTCCGCCCGCTTAAATATTACGCATATATTTATGTGTGTAGGCAAGTGTAGTGATAGTTTTCGTATATATATATATTTTTTTTTTAGTTTTTTTTTTTATAACGAATTGTAATAGATTTTAGTTGTGAAAATATAATGGCAGCGCCATCTAGCCGATAGCAGTTGAAAAGCTTTTTAGTATCTCCTACTTAGTAGGGAAATTCGTTAAGGTTCTTGAGTTTTTTTTCTATTATTATTTTTTCTTGTTTGTTAATTTTTTGTGTTTAGCAGCGCTGAGTCTAAAAACACAGTGAGAACATACGCCATTGTTCACAGCGGCTGGTTAAACAGTTAAAGCAGCGCGTACATAAGTGCTAAATATTTGCCAAACATACACACATTTAGAGATATGTATATGAAATTGTTTACTTAAGTCTAAAGTTTTTTTTCGCTTTTTTAAATAATTTAATTTGTTTTAGGTTTTTTTAAATTTTTTTTTTAATTTTTTTTTAATTTTTTTTATTATTTTTATATTTTCTTATATTTTTTGGCGTGTGTAGAATGTGTTTATGCTCTTTTAATTCTTTTGCATTTTATTTCTTAGCTTATACTCCTATCCTCTTCGTTTCCGCTCTCGCTCCTCTCCTTACACATTGAAACTCAATAAATTTTAATTAACTCGCTTGTTTGAAACATAAAGCAATACTTTGACTCGACTTTAATTGGTAATGAAGAATTTGACGTAATATTAATTACACAATGCCCTCAGCGCACACACGCACACACCCACTTTAGTTAGATACGAAGGTGCCAACCGCCGCTATAATACTGCTCATGCACCGTCATACCTCCATTTCTTTACTTGCTCCCGACCACTTTTACTTCGGGGCAGATTGTGTAGTGTGCCGTTGCAGTTGTGACATTACACCGTTATTCTACTAGTTTTAGAATTAATGATGTCATGCTGCTGCTGCTGCTACACAATACACGAATGTATGTATGCTACAACAGAGCGCATCACCCAGCAACATCAACCATTTTGGATCCCTTCACATTTCTGATGAACTACAATACAAAGCAGAGTGCAGGGCTCTAGCAAGCAAAGAAAGCACTTTTTCTAGTGTACAACTTTTTCAGTTATTTTTGTTGTTGTATTTCTGTTTGCAGTAAATTCATTACCTGTACATAAAAAAAGAAATGAATGCTGAGCTACTCACCGCCGCTTCATCGCTTCTTCGAGAGTACAGCGCATGAAAAAATGCATTCGATCCATTAAACAGACAGCAGATGGCTTGGCTGAGAAAGCATACTCAGTCGGGCATTTAGAGGTTGCATGTTTATATATATATATGTATGTGTACGTGTGAAAGCGTGTTTGAGTGTGTGTGGTACAGAAATTTGTTGGAAATGCTAAAATTTGCAGAATAATTCGTAGAAGAATAAGGTTTCATTGCTGAGCAAGGTTTAGTTGTTGGTATTGCATTTGATATTCGAAACGCTTGGAGGTCAGTCAGGAGATCGTTCTCTTCTTAGCTGTGTATTATTTGTAAAGGAATTTTGTGAATTACTTCGCTTTACACACAAATACTATTGCACTATCCTTTTAAATACACTTTATATATATATTTAAATATAGATATTGCTTATTTGCTAAAATACTGTCATAAGTCGAAAACATTATAGTTTTAGTTGATGATATTTTACATACATATGTCGAATTATGGACAAAAATCTCGCAAATTTTAATCTGTATTATTTTTCTTTTTTCACCAAAGCAATACATTTTCTACAATTTAAGAGTTTTAATGAAGTATTTAAGTTTTTGAGCATGTCGTCACCTTAAATGCAAAACGAAAAAAAAAAATGAAATAAAAAAAAAAAATAAAAAAAGTAATATCACTTTTCTTAAGTTTATAGGCGAATGAAAAATGGTATAATAGAAACAACACATATTTAAACAAAAATTTGAGTTTTGGTTAGAAAGTGGTTATAAAATGATTATATAATGGTTAGAAAGTGGTTATATATAAGTTATATATTGGTTAGCCAACATTTTATGCGATATATATATCATATGATGTAGTGAATCGTAAGCAATAAAAACTCAATTTCGATTTTTTTTTATGATACGTTGTGCTGCATTTTAGCTGACGATATAGTGATTTATGACAGTCATTTATAAGCGAACTATTTGTAAAATTGTAAATTTGTAATTATGACAATTTTTTAAACCTACTTTATTTTGTTAGCATATCTTAATTATTATATATTTTTATTATTATTTTTTTTTTTTTATATGTACTAACTTATATAATAGTATATTAATTAATGCATTTACATTTTATTTTGCACCAACAGTCACCCACAACGGAATCCGTTACAACAACAAAAGTGCCTAAATCGGTTTCTGATAAGAAACGTTTCTTCGAGTCAGCCATGGAAGATCAACACAAACCATCACAAAAGACAGGTGAGTTGCGTTAAAATATATATTTTTGTAGTAAAAACGAACACTTTATTTATTGTTACACAATGATTTACGAAAGACTACAGTTAGTTTTTCTAATAGCAATTGTTTTGCGAAAAAGTTTATGCACAAATCATAAAATAGTTTTTTGAATAATATTAATATAAAAGCTCTGCCAGAAAAGTAATATTGCGCGGCATGACGTTTTTTTTCCGCAGGGGAAATAATCCATAGATACTGATACTAAGTAGTATAATATGCGGTATGAAATATGCATGACTCGTACTGCTTGCTAACAGTGCACCTTTTACGGGACCACGCCTAATCAGTATTATCTTACTATATTGGATCTTCGCAACAGTATGCCCACGTACTAAACCCTTAATTTTTTCATCTGTTTGTCATTAAGACCACCGATAAGCATTACATCGCGGTTCTAGCTTAGTCTATTTGCTCATGTCATTAGCTCGCTACTCGCGGCTCTAGCTTCGCTGCTTCTTTGCTATTCGGCTCTTTTCAGCTCTTGCAGTATCTCCATTTCTTATCATACTTGTCTCGTTTGCAGCATATAAGACACTGTATTATCAGGTGTTATTCGGCCTGCCACTTCCATCTCCAGATCCTGCCGCTCTGTTGTAAATCTGGTGCAGTAGAAAAATATATTATATGTATGCTCCACATTTTTGATACTGCTACCACAGGCAAGTAACTCCATTGTCATGATCTTACCTATGCAGGTGCTCTCAGAGACATCCGTGTCTTGTTACAAACGGAATGATGTAAAAGTTTTTCTAGCCATGCTTTAGTTCCAACTGTGCTTGTACATTTCCGATTGATCGGTGAGTTCATCTTCCCTTTGTTGCTGTGTCCGAACGATTTTGCCATTCCTCTATGCTTACTTGTATTTCCTCTTTACGCTCTGCCATTGTCCGCTTCCTCCCTATAATTTTGTTTTGATCATAGTTCCTCTTTAGTTCTCGAGCCGGTGTGTCTGGCGACCTTATCTCAGATATAATGCTAGCAGCTTCTTGAGACACTGTGCAGAATGCGCTAATAGTGCTAATTGCATTTAGCCGGAACACTGATTTTGCCTTTTTTTTGCATTAATGCTTGTCCCCATACAGGCGCTGCGAGCCTTGAACAAAAGTACTTTGCTGCTTTGTTTTGGTCATCCCATGTGGGCTTTGATTCTGGATATGGCGGCATTTCCACGGGCAACGTTTTCGCACAGTTTCTCAATGAGGACTTTATAGCTGAGTCTCGCGTCTACCATTACACCAAGGTTCTTTAGTGCTGATTGTGTTGTAATGATGTATCCATCAATGTTAAGGGACACATTCTCGAGTTTTTTCTGCTTGTCATAAGCACTGCTTCCGTTTTTTGTTCCTCGAGTTGAAATTTTGAGCTATTTAGCCAATGTTTTATTTTTGGTGCAGTCTCCTTACATATTATACATATGTTCTGAATTCGAGTGCGACATGGCGTATGAGTAATCTTCTGTAATTCAGTTCAGTTGCTGGCACACCTGGTGTGATAGCCTAAAAGAAAAGAGTTTGTTAATACTAAAGAAAGTTCTCCATAAATTACATTATATTTATACATATTTTAGGAATATGTAATACCATTTTTCAATAAAAAATTAAATAATTTTCGTGTTAGCAGCGATCTCCAAAGGCGCTGAAACTGACTCCACTGTATCAATGATTTAAAAATAAAAAAAATTGATCTCCTGTCTCCTTACAGCAAATTCAAAAAAATCGCGAAATATACGTATAAAGATAATTTGATTACCTACATTGACTAACATACTAAAACGGTAAATGGCTAAAATTCAAAAAATATTTTAAGTATTCATTTGAAGGTTTATTATGTTATTTTTGAAATTAAATCAATGCAAAATATTTAAAAAGATGCTTAAAGAGCTGAAATTCACGCCGAAATCAGGTTTAATAAAAATTATTATCGGTTATCTGCAAATTCGGTTTTCAAGTGCTCCTATTCCAAGAGATTTTGCGTTGCTTCGGGCTCTATTTATTTATTTACTTTTTTTGTTCGGAGTTTTAAATCTATGGGAATTGCACGCGGTATTCTTTAAAATTGAAAATCTTAATAAATACAACGCAAGCAGTCATTTAGTTGCGTCTACAACTAGTAGTCTCCGTCTTTATTTATCTTTATCGGCTGTCAACAGGCAGCACATCACAAATAGCAGCAAAAACGTGGCATCAGTGGCTCAGAAATAACCTTTTGTCCAACAAATTTCCATTTAGAGGATAGAAAGTTATGCGTTGTGCTGATTTCACAAGTTTTCATTACTTTTTTGTTTTTAATTTTTTTTACTACTTCACAATGTTTTCAACACAATACTTTATTGAACTAAAACAAACGATCAAAGAAAATAAATCGCGCACACCAAGAAGTCAAAAGAGCAAAATAAGTTCAAAGTGAAGATATCCAATCTTTATTGTATGCAACAGCAGCACTGTGCTGTGACGCTGGATAACAAAATAATTTCGCTGCTATCTTGATTTATGACTAACCGTGCAGCTGCGAGCACAGTGAGCGAGGGTTAAGGGCGCCGCCGTGGGGATATGTAACTAACCGATATACTTCTCCAATATATTTACGCTTGTGGGTAGCCATTTACATATGTAGCTGTGATGTACAGTTATTTATGCACGCAAACGCCATAATGTGCAGGTTTAGAACGTAGAGCACAAAGAAGGTGGCGTAGCTGAGCAGAGATGTTTTTTGGTTGCGAAGTCGTGTTGTGTCACTGGCCGCATAACCGTTCCGTGCAACCAATGTTAGTCTGTCAGTGGGAGGTGTTTGTTGTTATTTAATGTTTGTATTATGGAATATCGCTGCTTATTCCATTGCAAATAACAACTATTTGCTGAACAGTGCGGCATAAAGTTTTCAAAGTGTGGCAGACAGCAAGTGAGCGCACGTCTTAACAAGCCCGATGAGTGAGTGAGTGCACGAATTGGGTGTTGCTGCAGGAATTTCGTGCTTATCCAAGTTGGTTATACCCATCATGTAGATTAATAGTAAAGTTACTCTTATGGTATTTGTTTTATTGCATTGAATATAAACATATGTAAAACTGTGCGAAAGTTGATTGAAATAGTTTTAGCTTAACCCACTATATCAATAGAAGCCATATAATCCATATCGCATAGAAAAAGTTTGAAGAAATGCGAAAATATTATATACGCATTTGGTACATATATTTCAAAATGACTTCTGCATCCAAGCTAATTAGAGCTAAAAAACATGCTAGTGTAGAGTACCAAATTAATACCAAGGTGGTGGGTGTATTTGAGTATTTTATGAGGTATGAGAACAGCTTTGCGTGGCTAGTTTGTTGTTACTTGAACGGATTACATAGTTCCCTCATCGAGGTCATCCAACGGTACGCCCCGAAAACGTGCTGTTTCGTCGGGGTCGGACCATAGGGAGAGGGGTGTCAAATGTGTAGGGTTAGCAGAGCATACAAAGAGGTGGTTGGTGTCATGAGGGCACTCATTACACCTTGGACATATGTTGGATATGTCAGGGTCTATTCTGTATAACAAGGTGTTCAATCTCCTACAGTATCCAGAACGAAGCTGTGCATATGCTCTTTAACTGGGAGCATACGGGCATCACTGTGACGGGTGTTCGATGAGAGACATCATACAAGCTTCCTCGTTTGCGTTTTACTGCTTCCAGGCGACCATATTGGTGCGGCGAAGTCAAGGACTGGCCGGCCGATTGCCTTGTATGCTTCCTCTGACAATAATCGCGGTCGTGTAAGATGCGAAGCCCAAGAAGCTGTTTATTTGTTGGAACTATTGATATCGGTTCACTATAGCTACCATACACACTGATCGATCAGAAGGAATTTCTTGGTTGAAAAACTGTTTTATTGAACAAGATATATTTGCGTATTCCAAGTCAGTTCTACTACATCCGAATAAATGCAGATCGGACAACTGTTGCATATAGCTAGCATTTTTCAATGTTTTCACTCGAAACGATGTCATTTCACAACCAATTTAGCAGCTGTAAAATATTTGCAGGCATCCGTGGAGGAGGTTCAGTCTAACCAAAAAATATGTGGCTACACTTCTAGGTACTTTCCCTCATAAAAATGTTTAAAAATTCCCAATCCGCCTGGTAAAAAGCACTTATTTCATACAAAGAACTGCAAGAGCTTAAACATATTCTTTATTTCTATTTCGAAAATTGTGCAACAATGAAAATGCGATTGGCACTCACTTTCATCAAAGCTATAAAGCCATGGATTGAAAACAGTAACTCTTTATATTTCCTTTCACGCTTAATTTTACGATTTCTGAGAAAACTAGGGCAATAATATTGAAACGAAGGGGCCACTCATAGTACATTTGATAAGAAAGCATTAATCTTGATGCGACAGAAGGCAACCATCTTGACTTTCGCCTTTTGCCGGCGCATTTTATTGGCTTATTTTCTACAGTTCTTCCATTTTGCCTTGTTCCATTTTCATGGCTTTTCTATGCTGTGCGCTTAAGTTTGCGAGTATTGTTCATTTATTTAAGTTTTCTGTTCGTTTTTTTTTTTTCTTTTCATGTCTGCGCCAAATAAATAGAAAAAGTTTTTTCATTCCTGTCAAAGGATGAAGTTGAGAAGTTGCGCCAAGAGGAAGAGAGGAAAATCGCAACACTGCGTCATGATAAGAAGACGGGCTTATTGGATGGATCCGCTGCAAATGGCAATGATGAGTATGATGCTTCCAATAATAATTCTGCCGCAGTCAACAGCGCTGCTCACGCCGCCACCATACCGTGCCTTGCCGGCGAACACCGAAAACTACAACAACAACAACARCCGCATGATGGAGCAACTTATGGGACGAATTATGATTATGACGACGACGATAGACGACTTGTAGTTGACCATCGTCACGTACTGCGCGATACCATTGTCGAGCGGGATAATTGTGATGCGGATGACATGAGGTGAGTGTATGCTACATGCAATACAAATCAGTTTAATAGCGCCTAGAGACATGATCACAACTCATGTCCAGCCAACGGCGCGCACACACAGACACATCCCTCGAGCCAAGCATATGCGAAGTTTATAAATGTGTGTGTGTGTGCGTGTGTTGTGTGACATGAGTTATGTGATCATTTGCATATTTATAGTACCGTTACTTACATCTTTTGTTTTATTCAATTGTTATTAATGCTTTTGGTGAAAGTGTTTAGCTTTAATGCTTCTTCGAATATACACACACAACTACATACACATGTACTTGTTTCATAAATAAATGCACATAATCACATTAAATGCAATCTAATTACACCTAATTCAATAGTGTTGCAAATTGAAATGCATTTCACACCAACAACAACATGTTACAGTTATGTGACGTCGTTTGTGATATTTACTAGTATTTACTGATAATATAGTATGCCTTTCGGTATCTAAGGTCAATTATGATTTGCTATCAACTCGAATTTAATTGTGCTTTTTGATTGGGTTTTGGCTGTTCCATAAAGATAACTGTCTGCATAATTTCTTATTATATCTGTCACTATGTTCATGTTTTCAAATCAATTTTGCTTTGACATTAATTTTCTGTGGTTCTTGTTCTCTTTTAACCTCATTTCTTTGGGCTAATGCTACCTACTTCTACTACACACATCATCACATCTACATCAATTATATATACATCTATATATATGTACGCATATATGTATATATAATTAAAATTTAAAGCAATATGGAGGAACTTTATATAATACTAGAAATGTAAGACTTCGCGTTGTTTAACATTTTGTATATTAAACCTCATATACATACATACATATATAATATTATAATGAAAAGTCTGAACTTATTGAAATTAGACAATAATCGTAACTAAGTATTTACATATTTAAAAAAACAAGTACGAAGTAATGTTTACACAAATTTATTCGTAGTTCGTATTCAGTAATATAAAATATTGTAATCTACCAAAGGTGGGACAATTTTGTCTTTCTTAAACCTCTTCTAAAACAGTTAGAAAATTGCTTCTAGGATTGTTGATTTTAAGACACAGCTTGAACGATTGTTAATCGCGTTTCTTTTTTGTTGTGTATGCTGATACGGATTTTTTGAAACTAGCAACTAAGTATAATACTAAATGATAAGCCGAATTTCTTTTGAGAGCTTGCTACTATGAGCAAATAATAGTAAAACTTTGTTCATACTACTACTCTTCTAGGAGTATGTAAAATTACTGCTGGAATGAACCGCAGTGTTCTCCAAATTAAATACTGTGACACTGAGTTGGTTTAGTATTGAGAAGTAAACATTATTTACGAAAATGTGGTATAAAATAGTAAGACTTTGCTCATAATTTTGAAATTCTTAATTTGTTCTGCAAAATCTATGTCGTCCGCCTCAAAATAGTCCTCTTTGGCCGCAATACATTTGTGCTAAAGTTTTTTCTTATTAACGAAACAGTTTTTAAGATTAATTACCGGAACAGCCTTCAATGGGCGTAGCGATTCACTTCGTTTCGGTCGTTTGAGTATGCTGAATAGTCGGAAGTCACTACGAAGTCAATACGGTGGTTGCGGTATGATGTTGATTGAAAATTTGGCGAAAAGCTCACGAAGAATCAATGCAGTATGCGACGGTGCATTATCACGGTGCAAAAACCAAGAGTTTCATGACATGCTGGTAGTCGGAAGGGATTGTTTCACAGACATTAACGCGACGCTGTTTTTCGATAAAATTTAGTGATTCTGGAGCCAATTGTGCTTTCACTTTTCTTCGGCTCAAAATAGTTTTAATTGATCCAATATTTCTACGATGACTGTTAACCGTCGATACTCAATCACCAATTTGTTTATTTTATTGCCGGCTTGATGTTGATGAAAAAAACATTTAATGGACCTTCTGTGTTGAGTATTTTCACTCATCGTACAAATCTTCGAATGCAAGTACTTAATACTTCAAAAACCAACGATTATTTTTAAGTGTGTAAGCTGTCCAAGAGAAATCCTCGACTTCTGAACCTAACTAAACTTAAAATATATCCACTTTTAACTTTTAAACATTAAAGTTTTTTCGCATATAATTCGGAAGTACATTTATTGTAGAATTTTCTCTGAGTGTTTCGTAGGTATGACGGCTTTTGTAAAAAATGTTTTAACTTAATGTATTTCTTTTTAACTTAATCGGCTCCCAAAGAAGACGGGTTTACTTCTCGCAATGTTGTTTTCAAGTTTGGTGAGGAAAATTCTACGAAACGGTTTAATTGATCGGTCTGAAAATTTCACAAGACCTTTATATTTAGTACTGTTCGAAGGGATAACATCATTGATAATAAATTCCATATTTTAAGCTACGTTGAGAGTAAATTTTTTCACAAGAAATTATTATTATTTATCGGAAATCAAAATTTCGATTAGTAATACGACCATTACCAGTACATAGTTACCTATAGTGATAATGTCAGAAATACTTCTATTTTTGGATAATTTTAAACTCCAAAAACTTCCTCACCACCAGACTGCCTTTTTAGGGATCCTCCTGGAGGTCGGCTTCGAGATAGGGGAATTCAAAAATTTTCCTAATGAATCTTCCATCATTAAGGTGCATTAATTTCTGCAAAAGTACGGCATTTATTTGTTAAATAAAATGTCTATTCACAAAATTTCAATTTTTAAGAGAAATTTTTGCAAGTAAAAATAATCGAAAAGTTAATGAAAGAAATATATTACATATTGTCCTTAAAGATTATTCACTGCATTGGAAGTCTCAAGTGGCACCTAAGTTTGTCATTTATATACATATATAATAATGTGAACATATTTATAGTAGTAATAGGTAATATACAAAGCGCGAGAATGATTCGAGAATTTATCGACAAAAACGAAAATCAATTGAAAAACCAAAAGATACGTACATATGCATAAGTCTGAGTAAAAAAGCTGCGAGTATTTTCCATAAATTGACTTTCACTGCAGTTTGACCACCACACGCTCGCATTAAATTCTACTAAACATTTTCATGGTCATCTTTCTAATTGTTTTATGATATTTGCAAAAACAAAAAAGGAAGCATATAAGAAAAAAACTGACTACCACCAACGCCGTTGTAAACAAGCCATTTTTTCTGCTAAACGTTCCCGGCGATTGCTATTGTGTAGCGCTTGTTATGCACGCGCTCTATATCTCTTGCTTTCACCGTTGCTAACACCATCGTTTGCTCCTGTTGTTTACAAAGGTAACTTCATGCCATAAGAGACAAAGTAATTTAATATTTTGCCGTTGGCCAAATGCAGTCGCAGCGCGCACGTACCGCGCCCCGCCAACGCACCCTCATCGTTCGGTATAAACAAGAATTTCATTACACTGTCTTATCCGTCGCTTGTGCGCATTTATATTACGGTGGGTCGCACTCAGGCGAGGTGTGTTACAAAATACTTGCGAAAACATCTCGCACACAAAGCATACGTACGTTTAAATAAGTCTCCCAATAAAGTGCTAGTGCGAGATACTCTTCTAGAGGCAGGAAAAATTACTGTTGCAATGCACCGCGGTGTTCCCTAATGTACGAGTATTCATTTAAATGCAGTCACGGTGAGTTATTTTAATATGGAGTCGTGAACATTATTGCTGAAAGTGTCGTATATATCACATACTTGTGTGTATATAGTATAACATTTAAACACCCAAAATTTGAACTCAAAACCATTTTCAGTCATCCTAAAAATCCTTCAATATCCTGTTCTATTCAAGTTTATTTATTTTTTTTTTTGCGTGCATTAATGAATACCCATTTCTTTAGCCTATTTTGATAATCAGAGCGCTGATTTCGGAAGCAATATTTTGATAAAAAACTATTTTACGAAGTGAAGTATATACTGGAAACTGAACTTCAGAAGAAATTTAAATTTCTCCTAATATTGATACGAAAACTTTTACTCCAGTAAAGCATACCGTATGTCGTGACGTATGAGTAACATTTTAAGTATAAAACCGTGTGTCATGGCGTATGAGTAACTTTTTTTTTAGTATAATTTTTTTATCAGAAAAATATTGAAAACGACAAAATTTGCAGCGTTATTTATCAAAATTTCAAAGACCTGTCAAATTGGCATCACGTCGTTAATATATACCCTCATACTCTGAGCAGGCATAAAACAGAGTCAGTTAAGCTATGTCCGTCTGCCTGTATATGGGCCTCCCTCAGTTTTAGAGATATCAATCGTTCTTTTCTCTTAAAGAAGCTGCCAATTTGTTGGAACCGCCGATATTGGATCACCATAGCATATAACTGCCGTACTAACTAATCGGTGAAATCCAAGTCCTTGTATGGAAAACTTTTTTATTTGACAAGGCATCTTATCGAAATTTAGCAGTGATTGTTATCTAAAACAGTGCTAAAATCTCTAAACATATTGTTCAGATCAGACCACTATAGCGTATAGCTGTCATACAAACTGATTGGTCAAATCCAAGTCCTTGTATGGAAAACTTTTTTATTTGACAAGATATATTCTTGGAGTTTGGTATTTATTGTTATCTAAGACAGTGCTACAATCTCTAAACATATTGTTAAAATCGAACCACTATAGCACATAGCTGCCATTCAAACTGAACGGTCAAAATAAAGTCCTTGTATGGAAAACTTTTTTATTTTAATAGATACCTATACGAAATTTTACACTGGTTGTTATCTAAGGCAGTACTACAATCTCGGCAACCATTAAACTTACGCTGCTCAGTTGTCATGCACTACATTACTTTGAAATCTTACTCATACAAATAACAATAAATCTCCAAGGCTACTTCGCCTACTTACTTCGCGGAAGTGTATTAATCTTCGTTTAAGTATAAGTACACTGAATGAAAGTATTTGCAATTTAAAATTTTATACCAATTCTGTATTCTGTTGCATCCATGTTCCGTTTCCCAAAGGCACAATTAAATTCGAGTTAAATTGAAATTTGGCAGAAAATAGTTTTTTTTTGCATTTTGCGTTTTTTTATAAATTTTTTTATATCTCCACACTTGTTTACACTTTCTTACGTACTTTACTTTGATAATCTCTTTCCGTTTTACACACTTATTTGCACACCTTATTCCCACTGCATTTTAACTCTTACCACTTTATTTCCTTCCCGTTTTCCAGGAATCCACTTGAAGAAATTGAAGCAGTATTTAAGAGCTAATCCTATATTATGATAACATTACTACCACACTTGTTTTATATCTAATACACACACACACACACACACACACACACACACACAACTACAATGATTTGTAACGCAAATAACTTTAGAGTCACTAATCTAATACGACTAAGACGAAGTGGAAGTGGAAGATGAAGATGTAAAACTTTTTTATACGAAACAACAACAAAATCTAAATTTTTTTATAAATTATTAAATTAAACATAATTCGAATATTATTAATTCGAAATTTTATCTTTTTAGACCTTTATCTATTTTTATATACACTTGTGAAGATATTATAATAACTAACTAAATGCTTAGAAAAGTTGAGAGTACACTAAGAAGCAGCTAATATTCACAGCACATACCCACACATACACATGTATTGTATTTATGTGTACGCAAGTGGAATGGTTAAGGAATGTTAAATTTACTGTTATCACACTTTATAAAAACTACAAAAAAATATTAAAATTAATCATAATGATATTGTATTGTACTGACACACGAACTTATATATTTGTACGCATCGATTTATTATTTATATAATACGTATATGTTAACTTAGATTTTAAGCACACGACACAAGTTGAATTTTATGAATTTTATGCGAGCAAGCAGTGCTTAATTCAAATGGCAGCGAGTTGGAATTTATACACATAGTATATTTGTATATGTATTGTATATATACATATATAACTATTTATATATACTCAAATGTGGCTGAGTTGGTCATTGTTGATTGATCGCTCATTTGATTGATTAGCTGAACGATTGATTGATTGWCAAATTTTTTTAGCATTTTTGCATTTCGCCTTGCATTCACTGGCTCATTTAGCAGAAACCAACGCGTTTAACTGCACTTTTGCACACTTAGTTTTCGAAAAACGCGAAAAATGTTATCACAACAGTCCATACATCATATTATTTAGCTCTAAGTTAATTTATTTTATTACATTACACCTAAAATTATGCATTGTCCTACACATTAATATTATTATTATAAAACATAACTAATTTGTTGGAAATATAATAAATAAATGATTACAAACTATTTCATGCGCTTCTGTTCATTTTCGAGCATTTAATTTTATAATTGGTGAAGGATTTTCAATAATTTACTAAAAAAATATTATAATGCTTTTGGTGAAGGGTATGACTCAATTATGTACGCATTATGTAATTATAAATTGCTTTATTACGAGATTTTAATAAAGTGTTTGAGGGTATAGAGTTCTGAAATATTGGCGGATAAACTAATTATAATGATAGGTTAAATTAGGTTAGGTTACAGCCTAAAAATTCTGCTCAGATGATTATTTTTTGATTATTAAGGAAAGTCAGAGATTAACATACACCTTAGACTATTAAATAAAAAAAAAAAAATCAGTCTTTCGTCCCGAAAATTATTTAAGTTTTAACTGCTGATCCGCGAACTGAATTTTTTTTTTCGGCAGTGATGTAAAACTAGCGGAAAAAGCATAGACATTTAGAACGCCGTTTTTCTTAAACCCCTTTTGGGGAATGTTTATTATCATTCGTTAAAACATTTTTTGATATATGGTTTTTGAAGATTATCTCTTTCAAATGTTTGCTGCGGCTACGTCTCAGATAGTCCATCCTTTGGATCCAATTTTCAATGACTTCTTAGAGCATTTGGACTGCTAACTGGCAAATGACACGCATGATATTTTGCTCCAAAGTCTGAATCGAAGCGAGATTGTACACATATACTTTAGACTTTCTATATCCCCACAGTAAGAAGTCTAAACGTGAATTTATCTGCTCACCGAAGTGTTCTCTCAATAAATCTATTGATTGATGTGATGTGTGGGAAGTGGCGCCAAAAAAAAATTCAAAAAATTAGAAAAGTACTTCTACTTGGATCATTCGTGAGAATAGGCTGAATTATTGTCGATTCAAAGATTGTTGATTTTCGATGCCAAGACATTTAAGTATTTAGACTAGACCAGACCAGACCAAAAACTCTTAACGTGACTATTTTCTACTTCATGGCGGGTGTTTTTTACGTGGCGGGTCCCACACCAAGCGCACAGTACAGAGGAGGGATTTTTCTTCTTCTCACTTTATTTCACCTTCAAACATGTTTTTTGGCTCCCAAGAGGATATTTAATCTAAGACCGAAAATCGGAAGGTGCTTGAGCCAAGTCAAAAGAATCGTTCCTGGCCACTCCCATGTGAATGGCGCTCAGAGATTTTTCGGCTATAAAAAAGAATAAGAAGGACTGCCTGCCAACTCGACAACAATCCTCCAAATTACTTTAGCAATATCTTCTATGCAACAACTACAATATGTAGCAAATATAAGACAACACTTAACTAAAGACATTAAAGACTCTTTTGAAAATTTTCTCGACATTTGTTAACATTTTCAATTGATTTAGACAACTTTTTCTCTTTCCCACTCCTTTTCCTCGCACTGCCACTGTTTTGTTATGTGCTCTTTATTGAAATATATGTATTCACATAATTTCTGCATTCCACGCGCTCAATTTAAAATTAAAAATTTTCTATGACACATGACATGACAGCAATTACAAGAATTTTTACGTCCGCCCTCCCATTTCATGCTACTATTCGTAATAAACTTAGAAACACAGGAACAGCAACGCAGTGCAATCGACTGCTGAGCAACGCTGTACACTCACGAGAGACCGGTAGCGAGGGAGTGAGAGGCAAGCGAGTAAGTGGCAAAAGTTAGTCAAAAGTTTATGCAGAGCATTAAAAATTAATTTTGCATTGAGGCGATACGCGCTTATTTTGCAGAAAAACGGTACATAACAGAGTTGCAACGAAAAGAATCACGCCGCCATTTTTAAGTAAAATTTCACACTTTAGTGTATATAGTCGGGGAAAAGTCGGGATACAAGTATGAAGTATATTAGCGATATATTTGGTAGATTTGTAACGCCAAGCGTGGGTGTCACAGGCTTCTATGGAAGCAAAGGGCAATGCTGTGCCATAAAATTTAATAAACCGAGGGGAGGTAGAGCGAGCTTGGCGTGTCAGCAACGAAATTAGAAAACTTGTCTCTCAAAGGGTTAGTAATATGAGTTGAGCGACAGCATATGCATGCCATAAATACGCTGGCATATTGCTGGCAGTGAAAGGAACCGACGAAATTACGCGTGTTAAGCTTAAGAAAAATAGAGATTTAATTTTTTTATGTTGGAATCGTATATGTACGGATAAAATGTGTTAGTGAATAATTAAATGCAAGGCATGCGAGGTAAAGTCCCAAACGCACACGCGACTGCATAGAAATATCCAAATAATCACATTCACCAAAGCCAATAACTCATCAACCATCATTGATTGTGACTAACATTATGATTCCATGCACTTAGCTGAAACAAAAACAAAAACAACTAGCATTAACAGTGCATGGTAATAATTTATACTAAGAAATGCAATCAAAAAATAACTCAGTGCTCCCATCAATTACTTGAATTACTTGCATTCATCCATGCCAAATTAATGTGCACCGCAAGCGCAAGCAAATGCATTATCTATGTATGTGTATGTATGTAACCATTCGTAAATTTTCGTCAATTTTGTTCTAATTCTTGCAACATTTTCACACGAATTCAATAAAATTCCAAATTAAAAAGTGTTGCTGAATGCACAACAATAACCACAACAACAACAACAACGACAACAAGGATCGAATCACCGACGACACCACCGCCAACGCCAGCAACACCACCAACACCAATAGCAGCACAGTTACAGTCGCAGCCTCAGGCATTAGCGAAAGGTGGCGAAGCGGCCGAACCGCAAACAACACGACACAAGCTCGAAAAACCGAAGAAATCGAAAAAGACAAAAGCGAAATCAAAAGAAGCCGCACAGCCGCCCGCACAGGTGGCAGCACCTGAGTGGGTAGCCACACCGCCATCACACTTGGCCGCATTCAAATCGCCGGCACTAGTTAAGTCCTTGTCTGAGTCAGCCACAGTAACACCAGTAACATTAGCGCAGCAGTCGTTTAAGAATCATGTAGTTACTGCACTTGCACCGTCTGTAGCAACAATAGCACCCGCCCCCACACCACGTACCACCACAGCTCAACAACTAAGTAGCACTGTAGCGCAGTTTGTGGATATCGAACGACAGCACGCTGATGTCCCGAGCGATTACAATGACGCCGAAGATACGGCGAGTAGCATTGAGAGTGTTATTGCTGCGGCGCCATTAGCCAATTTATCGACCTCAACGACGCGCTTGCCCAACCAACAGAAGCCGTCACTGCTGCCGAAACCCAAAGTGAAAGTTGTCATACCACCTGCATTGTTGCTGCAGCAAACACAACAACAACAACAAGATGAAGAGCAACAACAAGACACGTCACCGACGACACCATCCAGTCGCATTCCCATACGCACGGCGAATGCGGAGCGGCGCGCGCTAAAGGCGGCAGCAGCAGCAGCTGCTGTTGGCGGTGTAGTGCCTGGGACGCAAGTTGAAGCTGCTACTTCCGTTGTGGTTGAGCGGTCAGCTGATGCGGTTCAACACGAGCAGTCACCGTCTAATGGGTCGAAGAGCAAAGCAATGATTAAGTAAGTCGAAATCCGATTTGTGGCTGTAAATCGTATGCAAAGGAAGGTATCTTTGTGAAGTTTGTTAGTAGTATAGGTGAAAATAGGGTCTTTTTGAAGTAATGATGTTAACTTTGGTATTTGACCGAAGTGAAATATTTGAGGTAAGCGTTAACACATAATATTATAATTAGGAAAATATCTGCCACCTTTATCGAATATTTTTTTTTTTTTTTTGAAAGCCGTTTAACATACATGACTATTAATCAAAATCTTTATATAGTTATAAACCTAACAAGTACAGTTATCGCTGAGAAACATCGACTAGAATTATTCAACGTTTTATACAATTACTTTTTATTGTCAGGGAATTTAGTATAGAGTTTCAAGTCAACATGTTCCTGATGTCCTTTAGTTGATAATGGAATGCCAATATCAAGAATATATAATATATAATCTTATTCGGCTTAATTGTGACAAAAAAGTACCCGGAAATCGTAAATAAACGCAAAATATTTAATTATTCATCAATATTTATTTTGTCGCCTTCAAGTAATCTCCAACATCTGTCCTTCGAAACACTTTTCGTAAGCACTTTTTGGGATGGCCTTCAGGTCTATCAGTGAATTTTGTTATATCGCTTCGAAAAAACGGATTACGCGGAGCGACAACTTCAATTTCGGGAACAAGAAAAAATCACACGAAACCAAATCTGGTGAATACAGTGGTTTATCGATGCTATTCATTGCGTTTTTGGCTTTAAATATGGACAAATCAAATTACGTATCATCCCTCCGGAACAAATTCATGTAGCACCAAACCGTGAACATCGAAAAAACTAATGAGCGTCACCTTGAGCGTTGTGTTTTTTTTGTTTTAGATCGTCTTTCTCCCCTAATTCCGAGGATTGTGTGCATGTCAAACTCATAAACCCATGTCTCATTGACAGTTAAAATTCACTCCATGAATGTGGAATCGGACTCCAAAAGACCAGCTTATTACACTATGAGACTCATGTCTCATTGACAGTAAAAATTCACTCCATGAATGTGGAATCGGACTCCAAAAGACCAGCTTATTACACTACCCTTCTTGAAAAAATGTCAGTTTTATCGGACCAAAATCATTTGAACGAACTCGAGCTCTCTTGCATTTCTCTAACACTTTTCTAATATTTTCGTGAGTTGAAGAGGTCGAAGGTCGTCCAAAACGAGACATATATTCAACGATCTCTTGACCGTCTTTGAACGTACCACTTGTAGCCTTGTGTTTTTGATAAAACTGAATCGCAAAGATTCCGTACACGAAATTTGTTTAAAAATACCAAAATTTAGACAAATTCTTTGTTCGATATTGTTATTCATTGTACGAATTTAAGTCTCAGTTTGAAATTTTAGAGAAAACGATTTTTTTTGCATTATCGAGTAGTATACACTTTCTTTCAATTTCTGAAATTGAATTCAAATTATTACGGTCGCTACAACGTTTTTTGTAGAAAGGGGACAGAGTGGGGAACATAGCGCCTCCGCTCCGATTCTCAGAATGGTGTTTTTCAAACTGGTTTCCACTCGCAAAGGAAGAGTTTTGAATAAATCCAGTTTGGAGAGAACCTTTTCAACGTCATTCGCTATCCCGCTACATAAACTGTTTTTTTTTTTGAAATCTTCCTTTTTCTTTCTACGAAAAACTGTCGAAAAAACAAGCGTTCATAGCGCGATAGTGACCTTCCTACAGAATAATAATGTTTTTGAAGTTTTTGATTTAGTATAAAATTGCGGCCGCAATCGTGGACGTCGTACAGGACACCTTTTACGTGTTATTTCAACAATTAACTTATCTATACATCTAATGAATAAGCATATAAAAATTACTTTGTATTCATCATAAATGTATTTATTTATAAAAAAAATCGCACCGATTAGTAAATTGCGACATTAAAAAAAATCTCGAATAGCAGTGATTTTTCGGACGCTCACACTGAGACGGTACCTTAAGTAAATAAGGACTGTCCTATCAACTTGCCAAACTAATTTTTTAAAATATAATTTACCCTGGGAATGTAAATACAATATCCAGGTACCTTTTCGTCACAATGTATAATTTTGTTCGGTTTATTTATTAATATTATCGATATTGGTGATTTGGTATACAAATTTATTCTCGATCCATTATATATCTTTAGCTTATTTTTTAGTTTACAAAGCTGTTTTTTTTTTTTTGGTTTTGTTGTGTGATCATTTTTATTACGTGTTGCAAAGATATCTGTTTCAGATAGTTTCAATAGAATAAACATACCATATTTTGAAACTCGATAACTCTTCAAAAATAATTGTGTTACTGTTCGTTGATTTGTTTTAGTTAAAAGAGTTAGAAAAAAAGATGTATTAATAGTAATTTTAGGTACTTTATTTTCACTTCATTCTCGTATATGTAAATAGTTTGTTAATTGACTGAATTATGGGTACCGTGAAACAATTAAGAAACGAACTTTGTAAATATAAGTGAAAAGAGAGTTAATACATCACGTGAAAATATAGTTTTTCTCAGGAGAGAAATATCATTTCTTGCACAATATTTTTTGTATATTTTAACAAGTCAGCACTTAGAGAATAAGCCGATTTCATAGCATAAAGCCTCAAATCACACATTTCCCATATTGTACAACAACTTCAGTGCAGGTAAATAAATATACATAAATACATAATATTCTATGTTTTGGCATTTTTAAATAACGCACGCGGCTCACAAACAAACACCAATCAAGCTCTGTTGTAAAGCGCTCCCCCTCCCCCTCCCCCTTTTCGTTAAATATATACCGTGAACGCAGTTATTATTTTGGTAATTTTACATCCTTTATCCACTTGTAAGTAAATATTGGTTGCGGTATTTGTATTTATTAGCTCGATTTCCTTAATTATCTTCATATTTTTTATTATATATTTTTAATTTTTCAAATTTTAGGTAAATATTTTTACGTAACTCTTCCGTATTTAGGGATCCTACGTTTTCCTTTTGTGTAGCAAGGTTTGGTTTTTCCCACGGCTTACCTTTTTATTTCCACGAAAAGTGTTTTTTTTAAAGAGTTTTATTTTTTTCAGCTAACAAGCAATGCGGAAAATATTAATTTCATTTCAATTTTTCCCTCTGCAGTGCTGAGAAACGCGCGTCTTGGCGTGCTGCTCGTTTGCGCTCATTGGAACAGGGCGCTCAGGAGGCGCAGAGCGTCATACAGAATATGAACAAAATCGCTGATGATCTGCTGACGACACCCGTCACCACCGAGGTTTGTATGCATAATTTCGATGCAATCAATTTTAGTCCTTGCATACTATAATCATTACATGATAACAATTATTAATCATTATCGAATTGAATAAAAGCTCCTTAAAAGTCCCCACCCGCAATCTAATGGCCAGCTAATACGTCTCGTAACAGTTTTGCTTGAACTAATTACATAACGGTTTGTTACCAAATGTCGTAACCCAAATGCATAAAATACATACTTACATATACGCCAAGTGAATAAAATTACGGTGCTTGTGTTTTTTGTATTACTACTGCCTAATATAACTGCATATACATATATAGTACATATATAATTTAATTGTTTAATAACTAACTTTCAAACTGAAGACTAATTTCGAATACATTTGGACTATATGCATAAATTCGGAAAAAATCGAAACTAATTCAACTAAGTAGCAGAACGAATTTTTATTAGCAGCAAGGAAATTAAAAATAGATTATTCTTAAACGATCTAATGAAGCCTAGAAGAAGCACGAATGCTTATTGGATTGTTATATAGCCAATATAATTTCACTTGTGGACTAAAAACTTTTCCTTTCAATATTTGAGGTAAAAAAAGTTAAGCTTAAAAAGCAGCGTGCTTCAAAAATATAAATACTAATAGTTTTATTAGATATTACAGACCTTTTCAAAGTTCTAGCGCTTATGCTAAAGTACCTAACTTCGGAGCGCTAAACTTTAGAGACTGGCGTAACGAACAAACAACGCTTATAAATGTGTAAAAGCAAAATATTTTGCTAGATAACTTTATTACTGTTTTATAGAAAACAAGGCGCTGAAACGAAGGCTAGCAGAATCTCTATGAAAAAAAAAGATTCTATAAAAAATATTTTATTCAAATATTTCATTTATTCGCCAATCTACACCCATACATTTAGCATGCATACGGTGAAATACATTTGCTAATCAATTTCCATTCTCATTATTCTTCTCATATTTATTTGTAGCAGACTAAAAAGATTGTTTTTCCAAAAATCGCAATTAAATCGAGCGATGGTCCGGTTATAATACGTGAACGTGAAAAAATACTCGATGAAAAAATTGTGCGCCGCACTGAGGAGGTGCCGTGTCCGTTAACGGGGCGACCTCAACTGCGAACTGTCGAGTACATTGAGAAAACCATCGAAACTGAGGTTAGCCGTGCACTTATCCAGTTAATATTGGAATTGTATAGAAAAAACATAAAAATTGGTGGCGATTTTAGTTAATTGTTAATATTTAGTTAAAAAAAAGAAAATAAAACACGCATCACGTTTTCTTCTTACAATATTCACACGTTAGATACATATATAGTATATAGATTTTCTTTTTCAATTTTGACACTTCTTCGTTAATTGACATTTGTAACCGTTACTTTCGCGTGTTTTTGTTATAGCGCGTACAAGCAATTGTCATTTTCATTTATAACTCGTACATATACTCAGCGGGAAGGAACATTTGTTATATATTTCACATACTATTTTTTTTTTTGCCTAGTCTTGATACAGTAATACATAATGTGCATTTGTGCACAAGTTTTCCTCATTTAGTATAAATTTAGTTGTATTTTTTCATATTTTGCACTAACTGTATTCTTGTAGAAACATGTTTACCAGAGGGTGCTTCAAAATGACGCGATATTTTAAGAGAAAATTATATTATTCTTGAATATGTAACATAGTACGATAAAAATTATACTTCGGTAATTGAAAATGTCACGAACCATGGACTACTCGATCTGAAGCCATAACTCTAACTACATATGACTGTATGCTTGGGTTGTTTTTCGAAGACAATAGAGTAAAGAAATGGTTCAGTCAAAATCGGTGTTTCCTCAACAATCAATCCAAATATTATTATGTTAAAATATCAGCACATTTTTGGACACCCTGTATAATGAATAGTATTTGCTGTAGACCAATTAGATTGCGCACCAGCACCAGAAAATTCCTCAAAGCTTTCACAGCACAATTTTACATTTTTGCACCATTTAGATTATATGCTAATTATAAAAAGATTTTTCCCTATGTTTTATTTGTTAGTAGTTTTCGGAGAATCTTTATTGTATTTATACTGAAAATTATACGCCGATTTTATTAAATAGTGTTTGAGATTTGCTAAATCGAATAAAATAATTTTAAAAGTTTTTATGAACTTAGATTTACCAGTTTGAATACGTTTGCGGCGATAGCCATTCTCAAAAGTGTCATGAGTTCTTATGGCGATGATAACCCTTTAGCAAATAGCAACTTATACTATCCATCGATAACAGATCACTTTATTAATTAACCTCAACTGTTAATTATAACCAATAAATAGCACTTGAAAATCATGCTGACTTCCCCAGCAGTATTTTCAATCAGATCCTTCAGAACAGCTTTCGCTATCACACCTAATAGTTTAACTTTATATGGAATAGTAAAACTTTTGAAGATACGCGTAGACTGAAATATGGTATATAGAGTAGCTCATCTAATTTTTGAAAATGGAAAAATAATGGTAAAATGAAATCCATTGCAAAATTAAGATTAAATAACAAAAATGATATGATGAGAAAAAGTAATTTTGGACAAACTGAGCTCGGGAATGGGCTGATTGAATGGACAAGCGGTCTCTGCCGTATTCTGCCGATTTCCTGTAAAACTTCGAGTCGTATGGAAAAAGGTTATACGACAAAGTTGTTGGTATTGAAAACACTTACAACTTTTGTTAGTACAGTCTTTTTCACATAACCTCAAACTTTTGGGAAAACTTCAGACTTTTTTTTTTTGTAAATTTCAATATATTTAGAATATGTTTAAATATTACAAAAATAACTGAATTTTATGAAAACAAAATGAGGATAAAAAAATAATAAAATAAAAATTAAACATTAATTGTATTGAAAGGAGAGTCTAGTGGGTGGTATCTTTTCAATCTACGTCGTAAACTATTGTCCAGCAGTTGAATCGTTAATACATATTCACGATTCTCCAAACGGAACTTTATTTTGAAAAGTTTAAATTACTTTTAAACTTGGATTCGCTGCACTACCCCAGTTTTGAATGCCATTCGTCCAGATCGTGCTAAGTATTACCTTGTAAATTAACAACTTATTCTTCAGACTGAGGCGGAATCTTGCTCTAAGGAACCGGTATAGTTGCTTTAACTTTATATTTATTTGCGCATATGTTTGTTGATAACAACTGACTATATAAAGCTAATTGAGGGCAATTTCTGTGCTTGAGGGTATGTATATACATTTACGGACTTTTCGGTGTTGATACCAATGTTATATTTGCTGAGCCACGGTTTTAGAGTACTCAGTTGCATCTGCAATTTTCTGGAAAAATTATCAGGATTGCCACTTGATGCTAGCAGTGCAGTATCATCAGTTGCCGTCATTGTGGAGTCAGAGTTCACCACTGGAAGGTCTACTGCATAAAGCAGTTTCAAATCCGACTCAGCATTCCTTTAATTTGAATAATAGGCCTAGATGCTAGACTTTTTCAAACTAAGTGTTTAGATCCCAAACATGCTGTAAATTTTTTGACTTCAAATATTTATTTTATCATTCTATTTTGACTTATTGAAGAAATTCTGCTTTTCACTTAAAAAACTCATTTTTAAAAAAGCCATATTTTGAAATCTCTACTGTTCGGCCGTACAAGAAATATATACTCTACTAGGATAACTTTTTGTAAGAAAATGCCACAAATAAAGTAATAATTTTCAGTAAATAAATACAGAGTGTTTGAAACCCCCCCGAAATTTGAAAAATTAATTTATTATATAAAAAATCAAAAACTTTAAAAATTTACACAAGTTTGAGATTATGACAAAAAGATAGATATTTTCTTCACTTCCAACTTTTTTGTATAACTTTTTTCCAAAGGAGCTCTCTATTTTTTTCTGTACCGCCCTAATAATATACAAGTCTATATAAGTATCTGGTAATACCTAATATTTTTTCTATACGAATATAAGGTTATCACATTATCACTGGGGTATTTTGGAAGATTTTTTCCTTTCTATTTTTTACTTTTAGTGTAGCCGCAAATAAGTTAAGCCAGTATTCACACTCACCGAGACTAAACTATTCCGACATTTTGTCACCATGTTTGACTACAATTACATTGTTTGCTCACCAAAGTCACTTCAATTGCTGGTGGTTTGGCTATTTACATATGTACATACATACATACATACACCTGCAGAAAGCTGACACATTTTGGCTGCCCTTGGCATAATTTGAAATTTCTTAATGGAAATTCACAGCTGCATGAAAATTGAATAAACTTGGCCAAATCGGGACAAAACCAGCAAATGGCAATGCAAAGTAAACAGAAATGGCGGACGTGAAATAAAAAAAAAATTAAAACAGAGAAAAATGTCACTGCAAGCACGCACACGCCACAAATTGTAAAGAAAGCCGCACACTAACTAACACACGACGAATGACCCGGGCGGACCATTTTTGTCAAATTTATAACGGCGCTGGTGTGTCATGACCAAATTGTTGCTATTTTGGAGATTTTCAAGTTAAATGAACAGTTGTAGTTGTAATAGTAAAAAAAAACTTCGCGAAATGGTTTGGTGGTACGCTGTTGAGCGACAGTCGCTGTTTGGGCGTCATATAAATAGCCTTTACGATAACCACAACAGTAAACGTGTGCAGTTCAACAGTGAAGATTTTTTTAAATTGTTTTCTCAATGTCTTTCTTCTCGGTTCGTCTAAGTTAACGTATAAGCCCACATGTCCAATATTTCGGCTCAAGCAAAGCGGAAATGTAATCAGCAAAGAGGAGGAAAATAACAAAATAGTTGAAACACAGTGTAGGCGACGCAGCTTCGCCTCTGCGTTACAGAAAGTTGCAAACGGAAATAACGGTACGGAAAATTCGTACACTTCCGTTTTCCGGTCAAAGAATGCCACAATGCGTAGCTAACAGTTTCTCGCACTCAGCAGCTACATACAAATTGTCTACAAATGCGAGCCCAGAACAACATTGTAAGGCAAAAGTTGTGAAGAAACACAGAAACCTTGAGTCAGAGCTGCTTGTGGTTACTAAAAATAAACTTAGTAACTTAAAGTTGTGAAGGTCCAATACACGTTTTTATAGGATATGAAAAATGGCGACTGTGTCTTAATGAAAAATATTTTCACTGAAGTGAAAGTTCCAATTCTAGAAGAATGGACTGTAGGTGCGAATCTGTTTTAGTTTTTGGAGCTTTAGTATCAAATATCGACAAAAATTTGTCTAGCAGAGAATTCGTCTATTTCCAACTTCGTCGTACTTAAAGGAGGTAAATCTGACCCTGTGCCAAATTTCAAAATTTCCATAATTTTTGGCAGTCTTGAGTATGAAGATCTCGTTCTATCTACATTGAGAACACTTAAATTTATATTATGAATAGGTATCGCTACATGCGCTGTCGCAAAATCCTTTTGGCCGAATATCGATCGCAACAGATCTAGTGATCTCTTTGCCCTCGGTAAGGCTGGCCTCTACCTAGTTGTGGGGCTTTTAACAGGCAATTGCCCTGTTGGCCTCCATGTTGTAAGGCTGGGAATCTTACCACACGCCATCTGCTGAAGCTGTATGGGAGAAGCTGAGGAAGAACTCGACACTTCCTTTATGATTGTCCCGCATTTAGCAGATCAATTCTTAAGGTTGGGTTTTCCTCAATTGATGCGCTATCAGCAGCAATACTTATTCTCGACGGCAGCATTACGAGCACTTCTTTATTTCACTGGGAAAGGAACATTCTGTACTGTGACTTCAAATTTTTCCACTAGACGCTCAATTGTTGATCAAACAAGATGATTATAACGACCATAAATTGGACGTAGCGCCCTTAAAGTTGAGGTCACTGACTCCGAATTTCGGAAGTAAATTTTAATTATTCCGACTCATTGTTTAATCGTATATCTTTCCGTGATGAAATAAAGAAACCTTACTGAAGAAAAATGTCAAAAAAGCGGGAAAAATATGATTGTCCTTAGTAAACAGGTAGACTTTTGTAGCGTCCCTATGGAGAAACCCGTTATATGCAATTTTGAAACAACCCGACCGACTTTCCTCTACATAACACATAAATACATACAAATGTGGCTTAATATTATTACTGCAATCCTCCGCGCTGTGCGACAGGTGCGTGCATATATGGTTGAACTCAACTTCCAATTTCAATGGCTCAGATGCGCTTCCACGCCCCAGACATCCTGAGAGCCATGCGACATTGAAAATACTTTGCCAGCTTCGTGAACATTTCTGCTTTCGAATAAAAATTACAAAAATATACCACAGATTCGCATACACCTCTTTCCATGTGTTTGTAACGTTATGTAAGCACATTAAATAGACCGGAGACAAGTGAACGAAATTTATTTAACTCGCTTTTTTACTCACCGACCCAAGCCGGCGCGCGGTCGTGCTTATGGCAGGTGGTGATTTTAGATTTTTACCGTTGTTGCTGTGTACACTTTGCTTTCTGTTGTCGTGGGTGCGTTATTTTACGGAAATTTTCGCCAAATGCACTCAAGCAGAAGGCGTACAAAGTGCACATCTTCGCCAACTTGTTCAAGGGCGTACAACAACAACCAGCTATCGTGTGTGGATGCCAATTTTTGTTGCACAGCGTAAGGAAAAAAGAGTTCTCGGAATTTTTCTCTTATTAAAGTGCAAAGTTTTAGATAAGCTCAGCGCATTTAGCGCACTTTGCTTGCAACTAAGGAGCGTATTTAACGTGGAAAACAAGTAATTAAGATCTGGTTCTCACCGCAGAAATATTAAGTATGCAGAGCATGCTATAAAAATTAAAATTCTAAAGCTTGAGATGTGTCCTGTTGAGGCTGGTAATAGAATTAAAGATAAGATCGAAATTCAGGCAAATGAAGCTGGAATTAGAGGTAGCATAAATCATTAAGTCACAGGGATCCTGAAAATAGCATACCGTTAAGAAAAAATCTGTTAACTAGTAAGTATTTAATGGTTTGTTTAAATCGGTTTTTTTCGGTTTTAGTGAAATGTTTATTTTTTTCACTAAAAACCCCTCATTGAGAAACCGTCACCCACCCTGAAACCATATTTGTATTACTTCAGGGTGGCGTTCCACTTTTCTCATTAAAATATTTACATCTGCGCACCTTCTTTTTTTTTTGATGCATAGCAGAATTGCTACGAATTTCTTCACAATCGCCCAGTTTGCTTTACTCTCCTGCATGACGCTGATTGAATTCTTCGCGCTTATTTTTCCAACCAGGTTTTCTACGGGATTCGTTATCGTTCACATCGCATATATCCAAAGAATGTAGGTATGAGAGCTCTTCCGTGACCGGATAACTGGATTGTGTAACAGTCGACTTCTCCAAATTTATGAATTTTCCATAAGTTTAGGTCTTTTCTTAGTCTGGCCGCCCGTCTGCCGCGACTCTCATTCTCTGATTTTCGTTGTCATGTTGTTATTGTATATTTCTTTAGCTCTGCTTAGTGAGCTAGAGGCTCGTCCATTTCATCGGCAGATTAAGCTATCTACGCGCTTTCTCTTGCTGTAATTACTGCTGCAATGTCGTCCGAGTAGCTAAGTAAGCACGATTCATCCGGCGATGACCGCTATCCATCGTGTTCCCTCTCTAGTCTGGTACAACAGGTTTATGTTACTGTTAAGGTAGGTCCGCATCACAGCCCTGATGTAGTCGGGAATTTCAAAGCTTTCTTCGAAAACGTCGATCATATCCAGCCATCTGGCGCTATTGAAGCTGTTTCGGACATCTAAAGTCGCAAGACGTGTAGGAGATTGGAACTTTATTCAGACATAGTGGGTAGGTTAGATTGGGAGAGGTCGTAGGATCTCAGTTGGACAGCTGCGAACTTTGTCTGTCGAGATATTTCACTCTCAGCCAGGCAAAAACTGTGAAAAGAGAAGAAAGTGGCAAGTTCATTCCAACTCGTCTTTCTCCACACAGCTTTGGCAATAAGTTAAAGAAAAAAAGAAAGAAATAGTAGGTATGATAAAGAGTAGAGGGATGGAACATTTGGTGAACTTATGACATTTAATTTTTCTTTTTAAGTCTGTGAATTATTTTCGATTTTCGAGGCTCTTGCCAATAAGGGGTTACGTGGGTTTCGACGGTAAAAAACAGCA